AGGGTTTCAAGACTAGGGACCTTCCCTGTAGTCTGCTCGGGTACTACTGCCAGGGCAGGTATCCATCCTCCCTGCCCTCCACATTCCCGCTGTCCAACACTTTTGTTTGCTGTGACCCCAGGCAGTGTTTCAGTTCTGAGTTCCTATATTCGTTCGATGAATGTTTACTGAGCATTATCCAAGCACTAAGCATACACTAGTAAACAAAACAGACAAGACCCCTTGCCAAACTAGAACTTTGCTCAATTTCCTCATCATTCTTCCACAATGAAGAGAATTATTTTGTCATCTCCAGAATAATAAATGCACCAGACTTCAACTATGTCCAGGATTACTGAATAGAGAGTAGTTCCCCCAGCTTCAAAGAAAAGTCTCTGTCTCGATTCTTAATGTGATTATTTCTGAGGTAATAAGAGAAGTGAATGATAAGCCTGGCGAGACCATGTCTGGTGCCTTGCTGGAAGGAGGCTCCTGGGGAAATTGGTTAACTAGCCTGATTGAGGGGGACAGCACTCTGAAAGCTGACTTTGGGAAATTTATGGGGAAATGGGAAGAATAAGTGTGCCTGGTAAGAAGTCTGATTCTCTGCATCCATCTGTGTGAGACAATGAATGTGGGCAAAATGTCTAAAGCTCCCATGCACCCCAGAACTGAAGGTCAGAGCTGCTGGCAACTGATTCCAAGAGGAGCCAGTGAACACAGCCACACTGGGATGTTGCCTCTTCCTCCCCTACACACAGGTCACCTAAAAAGGCTTCAATAGAGCTGGGGCTCTACTTGCACCACCGTTAATCACCTTTAACTTATGTATTTCAAAGGATAAAGGCACTTTATAAAATTTGGTGTGTAGGCTTATTGATGAAATGGGGTTACTACCATCTCAGGAGCATTTGAAGCAGAGCTGGTAATGACATGGGAAAAAGTTGTGGTGACTAGAATTAAGGGCTCTCACATCTACAACCAGCTGACATAATGTTCTAAAATGCTTAACTTTTCCTTTTGGTTACTTGACTCATTTTAGTGAGTATGAGAATAAAATTTTTATATTGAAATGCCTCTGACACAGTTTCTTTCGCATTCCCTGCTGTGCAAGGGAGGCAGCCGACTCTGGGAATCCAACGGCTTAGACTGTTCTTTTCCATCACAGCTGGTATGAATTCAAAATGCAAACCCGCCTGGGTATTTCCAAGGAGAATATTCTTTTCATGATGAAGCTGGAGTAATCTATTCTTTAGTAAAAATGACCTCTGTTTTCATGGCCTGGTAGCTGAGCAGTTTCGTAGGATTTGATGTATTCTTTGAGATCAGAAAAAAAATCTGTCATAGATCTTTTCTGAAGATTAGGGTAATAAGCAACCTAGGGTTCTCTGATCTTCAAAGGAAACTAAAAATAATCACTTGAAGTTCACAAACACACACACATACACAATTAGCACAAGCAGCAAAAAAACTAGACTTATACTTTACCTAATTGACACTTGCTGTTTCCCAAAATTTAAAGAAATAAGCATTTTAATACCTTTTGTTTTTTAAAACGAATCTTTCAAGGGTTTATGCCAATGAACAGAAATCAAGGTAGCATCAGTTAATTTCAGGAAACAAAAACAAGACAGGAAAGAGTTCTACTCATTTTGGCTTTAATTGCAACATATTAGGGAGGAAGGGTTGTTTTTGCCTACATCATTTATGTGTTCAGTACAATCGCTGTTTATTACCTACTCGGTGCCTGTTTTGGCATGAATGTCGAGCACTTTACATATAGTGTGGCAAAAAAATTAGCACCATGTACCTCTGGAGTCAAAGTGCCAAAGTGTAAATACTGGCCATTTACTCCATGTGGGCTTGAGAAAATTACTGAAATTATTGGAAAAACAGAGATAATAATATCATAGAAAGTTTAATAATTAAATTTATAGCCTACCACAGATTTCTTTATGTGTATTAAAAATCAGTGTTACCTCATTTAAGGCATATAAATAACCAAATGAAGCCTCATCTTTTCCCATTTAATAGGAGGAAATAAGAGGTAGGAGAAGTTGGGTATTTTACTAAGTTATCCATCTAAATCAAACTCAGTTCAGTCAAACTCTTGAGGCCTATGTCTTAATCTACTACAATAAACTATACTCACTTTTGCCAAATACCTTGGAAAACTCCAAATCCTTTTTGGAGTTGGGCAGAGTCCAGACTAATGAATTATATATGTCCCAAAATAGCAACATTTCCCTGTAATGGGTCATTGAGTCGCCACCACCATTGCCAAATTTGCGTGTGATAGACTCATGAGGTAAGGGTGCTTCTACAAGCATTTCCAGCTCACATCATCAATGGTGAGGACTTGAACATAAATTTATATGCATTTTAGCACTGCACTAACAAACAAAAGTTTAAAAAGTTTCAGAGCATCTCTTGATAAATACTAATGTCTAAAGCAAATTCTCCCTTTATTCTTTATTGATGGGAGTAATTGTTTCATCCTGTACAAGATACACAGAGCTACTTCATAAAACTCATTAGTTTATGAAAAATGCCTATTATGAAGAATTGTTCAGATTTCAAAATTGTTCTGATTTCAAAAAAGTTTTTGCACCCAAAGAAAATGTGACCTTTGCTTGTATTTTGCCTGAACTTTTTGAAGTATTTTATAGATGTTGTTATGACTAGAAGTTCATGCATGCTCTCTGCCTTGACAATGAAGAAGTTGAATTGTTGAGGGTAAAGCTGAATCTGTGTGAATAGGGGCTACTTAATTTAGAGCCAGCGTTACGCCTTTGACTACTTTGTACAAATGCGGAGCATGCTGTCAGGTGAGCACAGAATACAATGATAAACACAAAAAGAAACAAATGTGTTGGGGAACTGGATAAAGCTCAGTTAGATTGAAGAATCTCAGTTCTTAAACCCTATATTCTTCAACAGAAACTATAATTTGCTAATTATTAGATTTAATTGCTCTTAAAATATTTTCTTTTGTTTTTCAAGATTTTTTCTTCTATTTTTAATGTTTCATGTAGCTGAGAGGGATGCATGGCCATGTGGGTGTTAGATCAGGGTGGGGAGTGTGAGGCATGGAGGAAGGTGGGTGGGACAAATGTTTCAATTTTTTGTCTTCTGTGTCCTCTGTGGGGGAAGGGGAAATTGAGCATCCCTTATCTAAAATGGCTAGGTCTAAAGTGTTTCAGAGTTTAGAGTTTTAAGATTTGGGAATATTTGCATTAATCATACCCGTTGAACGTCCCTCATCTAAAAAGCCAAAATCTGAAAAAGGACATACTCAACCTGCCTCCAGTAGCATGGCTGAAGTCCCTGAAACAATTTAAAGGGGGCCCAGCAGGTTGTCCGTTTGCCAACTCACACATTTGTGTGACTCTGGGTTCTTTACATTCTTGAACTAAAACAGTGTGTTACAAGAGACAATGTAGAAGCAGACAGAAGAGTCCAGCTGTCGTGTATTAAGTCAGTAGAGAGCTTTGCAAAGCCCAAAAACACCGCTGCTCTTCAATTTTTTTCTGTGACTTGGAAAGACTTGTTTATGTACTTTTCTATCTTCAATGAATTTATGTATATTTTTAAATTGTTTCATTTCCAAGTGGTGAATGTCAACAGAAACGATCCACATAAAACAGAAGCTCCTGGAAGTCCTCCTCAAATTGTGAGAAGGCTGAAGATCCAAGATATTAACCCGCTTGAGAACTCGGAGACATAGCTACGCGGATGGCTAAGCAGCAGGGTGGAGACGTGAATGGGAGGATGGCAAAAACTGAAAGGGTTTGTGTGTAGTCCCTCAAGAGTATGAAAATGTGACATTTATTTACTAGGCAATGAGCAGTGTGCCAGAGTGTGCGCTGTCAGGGAAGGGGGACTTGACTGCAAAGATTACAATTGCTTCAAACAATCTACTTGGTACATCTTGGGGGAGAGGGGCGGGGTGAGGATTTAACCTGTGAGTCTCATTTTCCTTATCTAAAGATAATATTTATCCCACAAGGTTGTTAGGAATTAAAAGGAGATAGCCCGGTTCACAGCTCTCCAGGAGTAAGTGACAGGGTGCTTATAAAGGCCGATGATCAATCTAACAGGGCAGATAAGGCTTCCCTAGGCAGACACTTTAAAAACCCAAGGCGGATGGTCTGACATGCCCGTGTCACTACAGAAGCATTCAGAGAGGCTTTGGGAGGTTCTCGGGCATCCACACTTGTTTGGGAAGAGGTTTAGCGAAATCCAGAAGTGCCGGACGAGCCCCCTCCTCTTTTCTCCGCCCCCAAGGTCAGCGGCTGCGGAGAACCCCGGATAGCTGCTCCCCTTGCCCCCGGCCACCAGATGTCAAACCGCCCTCCGCGGCTTTGGTGCCCGACCCCAGGGGCGAGCTCCGCACTCGGCTCCCTCAGCTCCTCCCCGGGGGCGTCCGAACCAGAGTTCCCCAGGCCGCGTCCTCGCAGACCCAGCCGCGAGACCCCACCGCTCTCCCCCAGCGGACCCCTTCTTAAAAGGAAGACGTCTCAAGTTCTCGGCCTCTGACAGTTCACTGTTTTTCCCCTACACCCCCATCGCCCTGACCCTCTTGAGTCATCCGTAACCCCTCAGCCCACAGGGCCGCCTTCCCGAGGGATTCCGACTGCGGCCTCCTCCCCGAGCATCACCGCCACCGCTCCGGAGTCCACCGGCCGCGTTCGCGCGCTCGCGCATCGATTGGCGCTGCCTGACTCCTCGGGCTCCCGGCGCCGGAGACTGGGAAAGTCCAACGGCGCGCGGGGCGGGAGCCCGAGCAGGCGGGCCAGGGGATTGCCGAGCGCACGGATGAGCGCGAGGGCCGGCTGGGGCTCCCGGTGGCGGGTGGAGGCGCCGGCGCTCCTGGGCGGCGCGAGGCCGCGGCCCCCGACTCGGCCCTCCGCTCGCCTCGCGCCGCCGGGCGCGCCGCCTGCCCCTGCCCCGGTGCCCGGGCTGGCCCCAGGCCCGCGTCGGGGCCGTCGCGCCGCCGCCGGGGCTGAGGGAGGCGGGAGGCAGCGCGGGCGGCGGCCCCTCCCCTCCCCCTGCCGCCTCCCGCCGCCGCCGCGGAGAGCGCAGGGAGCAGCCGGGGGCTCGGCGGCGTCTGGCCCCTGCTCCTCCTCCTCCGTCTCCTCCTCGCTCCCTCCATCGGCCGTGGGGATGGCCCGTCGCTGGAGCACAAAAGAGTCTCCGCGGTGGAGGTCGGCGTTGCTCCTGCTCTGCCTCGCTGGGATGTGCGGTAAGTGTCTACGTCCCTCCTCCTCCCCCGCGACTCCGCCACCCCCGAGCCCCGCTGACCGAACAAAGCTGGGGCGACCGCCCCCTCTCGCGGGCCCCCCGAGGCCTCCGGGACGGTGTGGGGGCTGGGGGGTTCCGCGAGAGACTCGGGGAGGGGGCGGTGGGGAGCGGGGTGGGGAGCCGACCCTGGCCGCCGGCGGGACAAAGAGCCGGCAAGGGGCTGGATGCAGCGGGCGGGCTGTCCCCGCACCGAGATGCTTCCAGGGCGCACCGGTCCACCTCCAGACCTTCGGGGCGCTGAAGCCGGCCTGGGGTCCTGACTGGGGGCGTCGGAGGAACGAGGGGGGTAGCGGGCGCACCTCAGTCCTGGGCTTGAAGGGCCCCAGCACTCCCACCCCCCTTTTCTCAATCCACACACACACACAGCTGTGACTGTATGGGGAACAAGGAGAGGTCGCCCCCGCCAGCTGCCCCGGACCAGTCTGCCACCCCCGCCCCTACGGCTTCTCTCAGCTCTGGAAGTTCTCTGTACTCTGCCACCACGCGGGTGCCCCCGGTCTCCCTCCTCTCTGCCCCCCAGCTCCCTGCAAGTGCACCCCAGCACCCCAGCGTTCTGCCTCGGGGCCAGCATTCTGTGTGCATCCCGGGCTTGCAGGATCCTGTCCATTCCACGGGAGCAGCACGCGGGAGAAGGCCTGGAAATAGTTTCCAGATCCACCTTGGTCTCCTCTTGGGGTGCACATGTCTGCCTGGACTCCTCGGTCAGCTGCCAATTCCAATTCATCCGTTGTCGCCCGCTCCTGTTGTCCCATTGCTGGCCCTCTTGCAGTCTGCGATCAGATTAAAGATAGTTCTTTCAGGTTCCCAGAGGGCTGGAGACTTCTGCTGGAGCCCTGAGCGCGACGCTGCTGTCTGGGTCAGACCGAGCACACAGTGGGATCTGTTGGCCGGGCATCAATTGCCTGAGAGATGTGAATTGCATCTCTAGGTTAAACGGGTGGAATTGGTGTTTCTGAGAACAAGGTTAACCCTTTCTGTATGCAGTGTTGCTTAGATTTTGCCAGCAGCGACTAATTAGCATTCTTTGGTGGATCATACTTCTGAGGAACTCTGAGTCATTTGCCACAAACACTGATTGTCTAGTGGTGATGGGGCTTCAGTCAACGTGTCATTCGTGAGCAATTACCTCTTTTGAATGCATTTATCTGTGACACTAAATGTGATGGTAGCTGGTAAAACCCAAGAAGCTACAGTAAGTGAAGAAGTTAGTGAATTTAAGTCGTACGTGCCAGCAGCCAAGAGGTTGTGGTTCAGCTGTGTTGCTCCCTTACCTGATCACTGTGTTGTTATTTGGGGCGGGGGGTGGAGGAAGTGGTTTGATTCACTCTTGATGTGGTCATTGCCAAGTGTAACCAGGAAATTCGGTTCTAACTTTTGATTGTTAGTTGCATCAAGTGGCTGTGGTCCCAGCTTGCCTGATGACTTGTGGGTTTGGGTTTTCAACCAGAGATCAGTAAGCTATTGTGTTGTTTCTCCTAGCCTGAAGTTTGGGGGTGGTTTTGCTCTAGGCTTGATGTAATGACCCAGGAGAGAGAAGTAAAAGGTAGCTTTATAATCTAGAGGGGCTAGGGATCGCCAGCTTTGTCTGCCACTGTTAACCAGAAATACATTTCTGTGGTGTGCAGTTAGAAACAGATAAATAGTTGGGCATTTGTGTTGTCATTAGTGCCTGTGTGGTCAGTAAAACATGTTGTTGCCTGTAGGTGTAAGAGGCTCTGAACCCAGTGATTGGTTTTGGTGCATTCTTTAGTGCCTGTATGCAAAGTCACCTTCTTGTAGGTATTTATCATTTTGGAATTTGATCAGCAAGAAACTGTTAAAATGCAAAGACTGAAATTCCTTTTTGTGACAGTGTGAGCTCAGATTATAAGACTGTCTGTTGATTATGCCAAAGGTTGTTTTATCAAGTCACAACAAGGAGGTAGTGAGCCAAGCCGAACAGTACACTGTTACCATTCAGCCTGCAGGCGGGGGATGCCCCTGATAGCCGCTCGTGTTGTCCTCCTCAGTCCTCCAGCCAGTGTTAGTGTGAGGGGAGGCAGCTGTAACAATGGTGGTGGTAGTGGGATGCTAGCATAGCAGTAATGGGATTTCAGTAGCTTGAATATATAGTGTTTATGATCTGTAGATACACCCTGAGAAATAAACATCTCTGAATTTCTTAGAACGGATTCAGAACTGTCAATAAGAGTTTTTTTTTTTAAAGTGGCTTTAAAATTAATAGAAAAACACTGTTGAAACAGCTGTATGTTTAGAGTAACTCTGAACGAAGACCCAATGAAGAAATACAGGTCTAATGGCCAGCATTCATGGAATTCCAACGATTCTGTACCAAGTGACTCTTACCTACTAACTGCGGCATTAAATGGCTCCAGTCGTGCCTGAGTCTGTGAAACATTCCATATGTCTTTTGAGAAAAAATTTGAACGTTTACAATCTCCATATGGCCATTTTTCAGTGGACCCTGTTGTGCGGTCACACATTATTCTTCTAAGTTCTATTTTATATATTAGACTTCTAGGTTTCTTTTCTAAATGTCAGTCTTACTTAAAAATTCTAATTTGTGGGATTAAAATACACTTAATATTTTCCAGAAGTGGTTGTTCAAGGATCAACAAATATCTCTCAGGAGCCTGTGGCATCTTAGTTGCACTGACTGTGCCTACTAAGCAGGAGGAAGTAGAAGGGTGACCTCTTCCTTTCGGAGTTGGAAGGGATGAGAACATTAACTGCTGCAGGTGTGAGGTGTGCTACACGTTATCCTAGACCCACAAGGAGGTGGAAAAGTGCATCTTCATTTCTCACAAGGCAGTGTTGAGACTGCTGAATTCTGGTCAGGAGAAACTGTTAGTCTTGCCTGCCTCCAAAGCCAAGAGTAGGTGATTGAAGCATTTTCATTGCTTTATCCTTTCAGCTTCCATTTGTCTCTCAGATCAGTGTTTTCTAATTGAACATGGATCTATCCTTAAAGTACATTAGGCATTGCTTTCAGGAGATACCTGGAAAATAAAACGAAGTTCATGAAATGATACCCCTGCTAACCTCAGATACATTCTCTTCTATTTATTCTATTTCCCTCTCACCTTTCCTTTCTTCCTTTGCTGATCTGGACTCAGATTAATTGTGGCCCACTAATAGATCACAGTTCTTTGAAAAACACTGCCCTGGATGAAGCCAAAAGTGTTACCTGAGAATGTTGATTGTGTTGGTATATCGTTTTACAGTTACCCCCACAGGCTGCACATGGTTGGGTTACTTGCTGCCAGGACACTGAGTAGCAGCAGTAAGAATTGTCCCTGGTAGGTACCACCTGACCTGTGAAAAAATGTATTTTTAAGTTGAAACTCAGCTTGTTATAACCAAGAGTCTTTACTGTGCACAGTACTGTTCTAGATGCTGTAACCACATAAAATACTCATATATTTTTTTACTCTTGCACTTTACATTTAATGGATCTTTTCCCATGAATTTTATGGAACAATCAACAGTACTTTGTAAATTTCTACTTTAAGGATATACTAGGAGTTCTAGTTTTAGAAAGGTTGTAGAAATAACTGGAGCATGAAGAAAGAAAATCCAAACCAGCATCATTTACACCTAAAAAAGTCGAACTTGATTACATGAAATAGGTTGAATAAAACGGAATTAGTTGCTGAATATCAAGCCTTCCTTAAGTTGACAATCTGAGTTGTATCTGAATCCTGAGGAGAATATGAAGTTAATAGGTGGTGGTTGGGCAGAGGGTTTTAAAAGACTGCTTTCACTTGGGTAGCTATATTCCAGAAGGTGGACAAGTAGAAGTAGATTTGAATGATAGATGGTAAATAATTCAATGGGTTCCTGGAAAATAAAATCTCTTTAAAAAAGCATAATAGGGAGATTAGGCAAACATTAAGAGTTGCCATTAGTGGTTAGGAAATTTAAAGCTTATCAAGAAACTAGAGGAACAAGGAGACCTTTTTTGGACTTTTTACATTTTACACTTATTATATGTAAAATGAAAAGAATGGATGTAAAAGGGCATAAGGTATATTAAATATAGATTTACATAGATTTAAATAGAAAATGGCTTGATTTCAAAATTTTAGAATGTCAGCCGTTTAGAATCCAGTTCTTGCTTCCTGCTAGATCAGTGAAGGCTGTTCTAAGTGTAGGAACTGTGGCGCTGATGGTGGCTGAGCACATTAAGCCACTGGGTACCTGCATCTCAGAGACCTTGGGATTTGTTCCTTTCTTCCTTTCCATCTAGCTTCCTGCTAATACACCTGAGGGGCAACAGGTGATAACCCAAGTGTTTGAGTTTCTGCCACCTATGTGAGAGGAGACGGTGGAGTTCTTGGTTCCTGGCTTCTGCCTGGCCTAGCACTACCAGGATGTGCGGTCCTTTGGTGGATGAACCAGCATGTGGAGAATTCCTCTCTCTCTCTCCCTTCCTTTCAAATAAGTAAAAATTAAAATGTGAACTATGTTTGGGAATTGCAGTTGAATTGGTAAACTCAAATTTTTAGGTTATTTTTTCCTTCTATTTCTCCTCTTCTTTTTACTGCCCCTAAAGATGCACTTTTTTGTTGTTGTTCCTGTGTTCTAAGATTTTGAATTGGACCCTGTTAATTCAAGTTACTCATCTGCTAGTTGAGGGGCATGCCATATAAGTCCTTTTGCTTTAAGTAGGTGTGAACTGTGCATTATTTCACAATAGAATTAATTTTGGGAATTCTCATTGTCCATCCTCAAGAAAGGAGAGAGGGGAATTAAGTAATGATTGGCAAATACATTTTATAGCATTTATTAAATTATGGATATTTTGTTTGTTCATTTTTCATTGCCAGTTAATCTTTAATAGATCTCATTTAGCAATTCTATAAATATTTATTTATTTTACAGAAGAGAACATTGAAGCTGAGAGAAGTGAATTATTTAAGATCAAACCATTAGCAAGTAGTAG